GTTTGGGCTGCCCTCGGATTTTTATAGTTGCGGTTGTAAGCTCCAGTGGCAATAGGAACCTGGGACAGAATAGATAAAGTAAATGAGTAAAACAAAAGAAATGTAAGCTTTGTGCCCACCAGTGTGGCTTAGTGGTTGAGTGTTGACCTATAAACCAGGAGGTCACGGTTTGATTCCTGGTCAGGGCACATTCCCAGTAGGGGGGCATTCAAGAGGCATCCAATCAATAATTCTCTTATCATTGATGTATCTTTTTCTCTCTCCTTCCCTTCCTTCCTCTCTGAAATCAATATTAAAACAAAAAAATGTAAGCTTTGTGTAAAATAATTTAAATATTAGCAACCAGCTTAATTTTTTTTTTTTTAACCACATGGCTGATTTAACTTTTAGGCTAAGAAGTAAGGGGTTACCTACAGAGTAGAGGTCTTAAACTGGTAAATTAAGATAGTCTATATTAAATTATATTGAGATCTTTTTCTGAGGTAAGCAGTCAGTGCAATAATTAACCCAGATTTTGAGTTGGACCATTTTGAATTTGAGGCACAGCTCTTCAATACTAGCTAGGTCACACACATAGTTATAGTAAAACATTCTATGTTATAGAGGAAATAATTAATATGTGAAATCCATTTTAATCATATAGCATATTTTTTCACTGATGTATTCCACTTCTCTGCCCACTTTAATTTAGAAATTTACACACATACAATGAGAAGTTTATTAATTTAGATGGAAGCTAATTTTGTAGGGTTAATATAACAAGCTTAACTACGAAAATAAATATTTTAAGGTGAAATGTGAAATCTGAATTTTTTAACTGGCAAGGTGATTCTGGTGTATAGCTGGGTTTGGAATCCACTCCTGGATTTTGTGACATTGCTTCTCCAGATATTTCTCCTACTCTTGTGAAAATTATTTCTCAAACATTTTTATGAGTTCTCATTCTTTTTACCCCTAAAATATGTGTTACTTTTGGTAATTCTGTGTTTAAATATTATTCTCACTATGGACATTTCTTGGTAATGTGACCTTTCCCCATAATCAGAAGATGTACATTATGCATTTTTAAAAAATATATTTTCATTGATCTCATAAAGGAAGGGGTAGAGAGAGAGACAGAAACATCAATTATGAGAGAGAATAATTGATTGGCTTTCTCCTACACGCCCCATACAACCCGTTAACGTGCCTTTGACTAGAACCAAACCCAGGATCCTTCAATCCGCAGCCTGATGCTCTATCCACTGAGCCAAACCAGCTAGGACCGTTATGCATTTTTCATATTCCAGGAAATAATTCTTAAAAGGGAATTCTTGCCAAAACTGGTTTGGCTCAGTGGATAGAGCGTTGACCTGTGGACTGAAAGGTCCCAGGTTCAATTCCGGTCAAGGGCATGTACCTTGGTTGCGGGCACATCCCACTAGGGGGTGTGTAAGAGGCAGCTGCTCGATGATTCTCATCGATGTTTCTAACTCTATTCCTCTCTCTTCCTCTCTGTAAAAAATCAATAAAATATATTTAAAAAAAAGAATTCTTTTCTTACGAGTTAAATTAATGTAAAAAGTCTAAGTACATTGCTTCTATCTAATTTGTTTATCTACTGAACACCCACATTGCTTCCAACATTAGGCATCATTTAAAAGTCAGGACATGTAACTATTCACACTATGATAGGCTATCCTGAGTAGCCAATGTAGAAGAGGAGAGGTCTGTACCAGAATGGAAGGCTCATTGTCATCAGCTCTCATTCACATTCTCTTGTATAACTGAGAATTTGGTACAGCTAGAAATTTAGAAGATGTGGTTTATTAAAGGTTTGAAGTTTACACCTCCTTTTCCTTTTTTAAATAGTAAAGAATAAATAAGACTTCAAGTATTTTCTACCATGAGTTTTAATATAAAAAATAACATCTTTGCTCTTTCCTAGACAAATTTGCTGTAAAAGTTAACAAAATTCTCCAGCTTTATGCAATATTTGCTTTTTTTTGTTTTTTGTTATGGAAATTTTCAAATGCATACAAAATAAATTGTGCAGTAAGCCCTCATGCATATAATTCTAGTAAGTAGAATTTCCTTGTTTGATCTTTGCCTGACCCATATGTTTCTGTTTTCCCTTTTTGCTGGAGTACTTCAAAGGAAATCCTTATTATGCAGGCATATCCGGTTTTATATTGCTTCACAGATACTGTATTTTTACAAATTGAAAGTTTGTGACAACCCTGGTTGGACCAGTCCTTTGACATCATTTTTCCAATACACTTGCTCATTTTGTGTCTCTGTGTCACCTTTTGATAATTCTTGCAATATTTCAAAGTTTTTAATTTTTATGGTGATCTGTGATCTTTTAATGTACTAGTATTATTATTATTTTGGGGTGCTCTGAACCACACCACTATAAGATGGCGTACTTAATAAATGGTATGCATATTCTGACTGCTCCACTGATTGGTCAACCCCTTCCCTGCCTCCCTGCCTCTTCTCCAGCCTCCTTATTCCTTGAGATACAATGATATTGAAATTAGGCCAGTTAATAAGCCTACAAGCACCTCTAAGTGTTTGAGTGAAAGGAAGATTATATGTCTCTCACTCTAAATCAAAAGCTAGAAATGATTAAGCTTAGTAAGGAAGACATGTCAAAAGCTGAGAAAGGATCAAAGTTAGGCCTCGTGCATCATTTAGGTTGTTGAATGCAAAGGAAAACATTTAGAAAATTTGAAAGTGCTACTCTACTGAACACATGAATGATAAGAATGTGAAACAGCCTTATTGCTGATAAGGAAAATTTTAGTTGTCTGGATTAAAAATCGATCTGGCTATATTTTCTTAAGCCAAAGCCTAATCCAGAGCAAGACACTAACTCTCTTCAATTGTTTGAAGGCTGAGAGAAGTGAGGAAGCTGCAGAAGGAAAGATTGAAGCTAGCAGATGTTGATTCATGCAGTTCAAGAAAAAAAGCCTTCTATATAACATAAAAGTGCAAAGTAAAGCAACAAATTACCCAGATCTAGCTAAGATAGTTAATGAAGGTGGCTACACTATATAAACAACAGATTTTCATTATAGATGAAACAATCTTATATTGGAAGAAGATACCATCCACCACTTTAATAGCTAGAGAGACGTCAATGCCTGGCTTCAAATGACTCTCTTATTAGGTGACTTTTAAGTTAATGCCAGTGCTTATTTACTATTCTGAAAATCTTAGGATCCTTAAAAATTATACTAAATCTAGTCTCTTTATGCTCTAGAAATAGAACAATAAAACCTGGAGGACAACACATCTGTTTGCAAGATGACTTACTGAGTATATTTTAAGGCCAATGTTGAAATCTGCTCAAAGATTTTTAAAATATTACGCATTGACAGTGCACCTGGTCACCCAAGAACTCTGCTGGAGATGTACAAGATTTTTTTTTTTTTTTTTTTGCCTGCTAACACAATATCCATTCTGTAGCCCATGGATCAAGGCATAATTTGGACATTGAGTCTTATTATTTAAGAAGTACATTTTGTAAGGCTTTTAGCTGCCATAGATAGTGATGACTGATAAATTTGGGCAAAGTAAATTGAAAATCTCCTGGAAGGATTCACCATTCTAGATACCATTAAGAACATTTGTGATTCGTGGGAAGAGGTAAAATAAATCAGCATCAACAGGAGTTTGGGAGAAGTTTATTCATACCCTCATGAGTGACTTTAAAGAGTTCAGTAGAGGAAGTAACTGCAGATGTGGAAATAACAAGAGAAGTAAAATTAGAAGAGGAATTGCTTCTTGTGATTAAGCAAAGAAAGTGGTTTCTTGAGATGGAATCTTCTGATTAAGATGCTGTGAAGATTGTTGAAATGACAACATAGGATTTAGAATATTACATAAACTCAGTTGAGAAAGTAGCTGCAGGGTTTGAGAGGATTGACTCCAATTTTGAAAGAAGTACTACTATGTGTAAAATGCTATCATACAGCATTGCATTTTACAAAGAAGTAGTAAAGGAAAAGTCATTTAATGTGGCAAACTTAATTGTCTTATTTTAAGATATTGCCACAGCAACCCCAGCCTTTAGCAACCACCATTCTGATCAGTGAGCAGCATCAACATCAAGGCAAGACCCTCCACTAGCAAAAATTATGTCTCAACTTGCTGAAGGCTATGATGATGGTTTGCATTTTTAATACTTTTAAATTAAGGTGTGTACTTTTTTAAAGACACAATGCTATTGCACTCTTACTAAACTACTTACAAGGGAAACATAGCTTTTAAATGCACTAGGAAACAAAAAATGTATGTGACTCACTTTATTGCAGTATTTGCTTAATGTGACTATCTGGAACCAAACACAATATCTCCAAGCTATCCCACTATATATCTGAAAATCTTCAGTATGAGTCTCTAAATATACAAGGACTTTAAAACAACAACAATACTTTTATACCTAATATCATATGATCTAATACCCAGTCTATATTTGTTTTTTTCTTATAAGTCCTGCAAAAGTCTTTTAAAGATAAGTTTGTTCAAAGCAGAATCCAAAAAGGTCCACACATTGCAGTTGGCTGAAATGTCTCATGAGCTCTCTTTAAAAAAAATGTTTTTACTGATTTTCAGAGAGGGAGGGAGGGAGGAAAGAAAGGAGGGAGGGGGGGGGGGGGAGAGAGAGATATCATTGAACAATTGCCTCCTGCACGTTGCCTACCAGGATTCAAGCCCTAAACCTCAGGCATGGTGCCCTGACTGGTAATCAAACTGGTGACCTCTTGATTCATGGGTCAATGCTCAACCACTGACCACATCGGCTGTCTCATGTTCTCTTTATTTCATTTTTATTCTTTATTGTTTCAAGTATTACATAAAACCGAAACTGGTTTGGCTCAGTGTCAGCCTGCAGACTGAAGGGTCCCAGGTTCCATTCTGGTCAAGGGCATGTATTTTGGTTGCGGGCACATCCCCAGTAGGGGGTGTACAAGAGGCAGCTGATCGATGTTTCTCTGTCATCGATGTTTCTAACACTCTGTCCCTCTCCCTCTCTAAAAAATTAATAAAATATATATTTTTAAAAAGTATTACATAAGTCTCCTTTTTCCCCCATTGACCTCTCTCTGGCCGCCCCCGCCCCCCCAGCACATACCCTCAACCCCCTTACTGTCTATCTCCATTGGTTATGCATACAAGTCCTTTGGTTGATATCTTACTCCCTCACCCCCTGCCTTTTCTCATAGGTTGGACAGTCTGTTCAATGCTTCTATAACTCTGGTTCTGTTTTTGTATATTCCACAAATGCGTGAGATCATGTGATTTATCTTTCTCTGACTGGCTCATTTTGCTTAGCATAATGCTCTCCAGGTCCATCCATGCTGTTGCAAATGGTAAGGATTCCTTCTTTTTAACAGCAGTGTAGTAAAACTGCTATGTAGATGTACCACAGTTTTCTAATCCACTCATCTGCTGATGGGCATTTAGGCTGTTTCCAAATCTTAGCCATTGTAAATTGTGCTCTTATGAACATAGGGGTGCATATATCCTTTCTGATTGGTATTTCTGATTTCTTGGGATATATTCCTGTAAGTGGGATTACTGGGTCTAATTTTTGAGGAAACATCATACTGTTTTTCAGAATGGCTGCACCCATCTGCATTCCCACCAGCAGTGCAAGTGGGTTCCTTTGTCTCCACATCCAGCACTTGTCGTTTGTTGATTTGTTGATGATAGCCATTCTGACAGGTGTGAGATGGTACCTCATTATTGTTTTGATTTGCATCTCTCAGGTAATCAGTGACTTTGAGCATGTTTTCATATGTCTCTTCTGTATGTCCTCTTTGGAAGAGTGTCTTTTTAGATCCTTTGTCCATTTTTTTGATTGGATTGTTTATCTTTTGTTAAGTTGTATGATTTCCCTATAAATTTTGAAAATTAAACCATTATCAGAGATAACATTGGCAAATTGTCTCATGTTCTCTTAATCTGACAATTCCTTCTCCTTTTAAAACAAAACACACAAAAAGCTTACTTTAGAATAGTTTGAGTTATAGTTTTAGATTTACATTTGTGAAAATGGTAGAGAGTGGTTCCACGTTTTCCTATATGTAAAGAACTCTTACAACTCAATAAGATAAGCAGCCTAATATAAAAATGGAAATTCTTATGAATTAATGTAAAAATTACAAGTTTATTTACAGGCCTAGACCATGGACAAAAGATTTAAATAGACATTTCACCAGGTAAAATGTTCAAATGGCAAATAACAGTACAGAAAAATACTCAGCATTATTAGTCACTAGAGAAATGCAAATCTAGTAAGATTATGACTTCACATCATTTGGAATGGCTATAAACAGAAAGGCAGTAAAAAAAAGTTGGCAAAGCATATAAGCCTAACCAGTGGTCATGGACAACAGAGGGATGGAGGCATATGTGGGGAGGGGTTTGGGATGAGACTGGGGGGATGAGGACAATTATGTGATACCATAATCTATAAATAAAAAAATAAAAATAAAATGTTGGCAAAGATGTGCAGAAACTGGAATTACAGGTGGAAATATAAATGATGCAGGTGCTTTAGAAAACAGTTTAGTAACTTATTAATTTTCCATTACTGCTCTAACAAATTACTACAAACTTAATGGCTTAAAAACACATATCTGTTACCTCAGTTCTTAAGACAAAACTCAGAAATGGGCTTCACTGGGCTAAAATGAAGGTGTTGGGAGGTATAGTGATATTTGATCAGTCTCTTTTCCAAACTCCTGGAATCTCAGTGTGTGATCTTTAGAAATAGGGTCTTTACAGGTATAATTAAAATGAGTTCATATTCACTCTGTCCAAGTAACTTAGTTGCTTAGAGCATTGTCCTGATATGCCAAGGTTTTCAGTCAGTCTCCAGTCAGTGCAGACACAGGAATCAACCAATGAATGCATAAGTAAGTGGGACAGCAAGTCAATGTTTCTGTCCTCCCATCCCCTTCTTACTTTTCTCAAACCAATAAATAAAAATTTTTTAAAAATAGTGTACTTGCCCTAACCAGACTGAAGGGTCCCGGGTTCGATTCCGGTCAGGGGCATATACGTTGGTTGCGGACACATCCCCAGTAGGGAGTGTGCAGGAGGCAGCTGAATCAATGTTTTTCTTTCATTAATGTTTCTAATTCTCTATCCCTCTCCCTCTCCCTTCTTCTCTGTAAAAAGTCAATAAAATATATATATTTTTTAAATAGTGAACTTGTTTAAAAAAATAAATAAAAGAGGCATACTCAATTAGGGTGAACCCTAAATCTAATGACTTTTTATCCTTATAGAAAGAGGATACACACCCACAGAAGACTGTGAAGATGGAGGCGGACAGTAGAGTTGTGCTGCTAAAAGCCAAGAAATACCTAAGATAGCTAGACGTTGGCAAAGGCATGGAAGGAAGGATTCTACTCTGGAGCCTAAGAGCCCTGACAGATAGATAGTATGAGAGTATGGATCTGCTGACATCCTGATTTTGAACTTCTAGTCTCCAGAACTTAGAATAAAATTTGTTTTTCAAGCCACTTTTGTGCTAAATTTTTTAAGGCAACTCTAGGAAATTAATACAACAGGTTTATGTTTCTTCTAGAGTAGGGGTGTCGAACTCAATCAGAGAAGGGGCCAAAATCTAAAATCCAGCCTAAATCGCGAGCCGAATGGTTTACTGAACAGTCATAAACTCATTGTGATGGAAACGCAGCTGAGTGCAGTGATGACAGCGCGGTGCGGGCCACATTGCAAGGCCTGGCGGGACGGATTTGGCCCGCGGGCCTTGTGTTTGACACATGTGTTCTAGAGGCTTTAGATGAGCTTTTGTTTTCTTGCCTTTTCAAGCTTCAACAGGCTACCTACATCCCTTCATCTTCCAAACTAATAGCATAGCAACTTTAACTCTCCTATCTGCTTTTGTTAATACATCTACTCTGACTCTTAAGGACCTCTGGTTAATCTTCGCATCTCAAATTCTTAATTACATCTATAAAATTCATTTTCCTTGTGAAATATTAAAGATTTCTGGTATTAGCTGAAACCGGTTTGGCTCAGTGGATAGAGCGTTGGCTTCCGGACTGAAAGGTCCCAGGTTTGACTCCGGTCAAGAGCATGTACCTTGGTTGCAGGCACATCCCTGGTAGGGGGTGTGCAGGAGGCAGCTGATCGATGATTCTCTCTCATCGATGTTTTCTAACTCTCTATCCCTCTCTCTTCCTCTCTGTAAAAAAATCAATAAAATATATTTTAAAAAAAAGATTTCTGGTATTAGAACATGGACATTACTAGGGGGCCATTATTCTGCCTACAATGGGCAGTTTCTTTTAAAAGTTAAGCATATGTGCCATAACCTAACATAATCTATTATAGGTATCTACCAAAAATAATTAAAACATGTTCGCACACAAGACTTATGTAATACTAATAGCATTATTTATACCTAGAGGCCCAATGCATGAAATTGTGCAAGAGTAGACCTTCCTTCCCCCAGCTGCCAGCTCCGGCATCCCTCTGGCACCCGGGACCTGGCTTTTCTCCAGGATCCGGGCTTCCCTCGCAGCCCTGGCTTGGTCTGGAAGGACATTCCGCCTTGTTAACATATTATACTTTTATTATAGATAGCTACATCAGGTGGTAAATGGGTTTTAAAAATGTGCCATAGTCATACAAAGGAATACTATTCAACTGCTGACATAGTATAACATGGATGAAACAAAAAAGCTGTATGAAAGACATGTTGCCAAAAAATCACATGTATGATTCTATTTGTATGAAATGTTCAGAAAAGACAAATTTATAGAAAATAGATTTAGAGGCTGGCTTTGGTTTTACATCAGATAATGCATATTGGAATTTTGGGGTGTAATGTGAATGTTCTAAAGCTAAAGTGAGATGATGGTTCACTACTTTGTGAAGTCTAAAAATCATTGAATTGTGTAGTTAACACAAGTGTGTTTTCTGGCATAATAAATTAAATCTCAGGAAGGCTGTTTAGAAAGAAAAGTGATGGAGAATGTAAAGGAGTGGGGACGGACTTCATGCACCTAGAAATCTTTGTGATATTGATTTAAGCAAAGATTTCTTCTGACACCAAAAAGCATGACTCATCAAAATGTAAAATTTCTGATATGTGAAAAATTAAGAAAATTTAAAAAGCCATAGACTGGGAGAAATCATTTACAATATACATAGCTTATAAAGGACATCCTATGTAATAAAAGCCTAATATGCAAATGGACAAACGACAGAATGACTGGCAGAACCGACTGGTCTCTTTTGCACACTGACCACCAGGGGCAGATGCTCAATGCTGGAGCTGCCCCCAGCCTGCTGGCCCTGACCAGCTGTGGCACTGGATGGCGGGGCAGGCCCAGGCCAGGCCAGCCAAGGTGGGTGCCATTGTCCCTTACCCCCCCCACCCCCAAATCTCCCTGCTGGTCACCCCACAGATTGGCCCTGATCATCGGACAGACCTAGAGACCCTTACCCGTGCACAAGTTTCATGCACTGGGCCTCTAGTCCAGTGGTCGGCAAACTCAGTCAACAGAGCCAAATATCAACAGTACGACGATTGAAATTTCTTTTGAGAGCCAAATTTCCATCTTAAAAAACTATAGACTCCTGGGCCACACACAGTGGTGGGCGCTGGGCTGTTGGCGTGGACCCAAACCGCTGCTTGGTGCTGGAGCATTCGCAAGTGGCTGAGGGCGTTCTGGGACCCCTGCTGTTCAGGGCCTAAGTGCGGGCCTACAGACTAGGAGCGGCCTGGGTCTGGAGGATGTTCCCAGGACCCAGGCCACTCAGCACCTATGTATGCAAATTAACCACTATCTTTGTCAGGTTAATTTGCATACTAACTGATTGGCTGTTGGGTGTAGCGTAGTGATGGTTAATTTGCATGTTTCTCTTTTATTAGGATGTTAAAAGTTCTTTAAGAAGAGGGAAAAAAGATTTAAAATCTGAATAGTAAAATGACAATAAATACATATCTGTCAGCAATTGAGTCTAAAAGAAACCAAAACAAAATGAAGGAACCATCAAAACCTAAACAGACTTGTAGATACAGAGAACATATTTTTCTGGCCAAGTGGGAGGAGAGTTGGGTGTGGGATGAAAAAAGTAAAGAGGTTAAAATGTAAAAATTGGTAGTAACAGAATAGTCATAGTGATGTAAAATACAGCATAGGGAATCTGTATATATAAAAGCCTAAGTGACCACATTCACTATGATACGCACTGACCACCATGGGGCAGATGCTCAACACAGGAACTGTCCCCTAGTGGTCAATGCATTCCCACAGCAGGAGCACCACTCAGCTGACTGACAGGTGCCAGATGCTGGGCTCATGGCTGACAAGCGCAGTGGCAGCAGCCACAGGGGCCAGGATGAGTGGGAGCAGCATGGCGCCCAATCCCAGCTTCCCCCTGGCTGCCTGCTGCTTTGTGCACTACTACATCCCTCGGGGGATGCCAGACAGCCAATTTCGGCCTGAAACTGCCAGTCCAACATACCCCGAAGGGTTCTGGATTGTGAGAGGGCACAAGCCAGGCTGAGGGACCCACTGGTGCACAAATTCATGCACTGGCCCTATAGTATAGTCAATAATAATCTAATAACTATGTATGGTGTCAGAGGGATACAAGAGTTATTAGGATGATTGCTTAGTTATATAATGTTTACTCTCCTAGGTGTACACCTGAAACTGATGATATATTGTATGTCAACTGTAATTGGAAAATAAAACATGATTTTAAAAATAAATAAAAGCTAAGAAAATTGATCTCCTAAAGGCTAAAAAATCGAGGGACAGTTAATAGTTTAAAGAAATGGAAAATTGCTGATGGGTTTAAATAAACCTCATTAACAATTACCTTAAATCTAAACAGAGTAAATGCTCTAATTGTCAGATTAAAGGAATAAGACTCTTAAGTATATACTGTTTACAAAAGACATTTTAAATATAAGCATACAAAAAAAAGTTAAAAGGATGCTAAAAGATACACTATGGGACATTGATTAAAAGAAAATAGTGTGTTGGAGAGGAAGTGGGAGTTAGAAATATCAGTGATGACAGAGAATTATTGATTAGCTGCTTCCCACACTCCCCACATTGAATATCGAGCATATAACCCAGCATGTGCCCTGACTGGGAATTGAACTGTGATCTGGTTCATTGGTTGGTGCTCAACCACTAAGGCATGCTAGCCAGTCAGTCCAAAGTAGGTTTTAAGACAAGGACTAATACAGCAAAAATACAATAGATAAAGGGATCAATTCATAACAGTCCTGAATGTTTATGCTCTTTAATAACATAACTTGAAAATACACGAAGCATACTATATTGATGTACAAGTCCTCATAAAATTTGTTCTCCTTCCTCTCTAACCCCAGCTTGCACATTTACACAAAGCACACTCTGTCTTACCGTATTACATTGCCTATAGTTTTGGGAATTCATAATTGCTGCTTTGTTCATGTTCTACCCTTTCCTTAGGATGCATTTTTTGCCCTCCCACAAAACAAACTCCTAGTCATCCTTCACAACCTTTCTCAGGATCACTTCTAGTATTATTTTTATACTTTGTGTGCATATGCTATTACTAGCATACTATATTATATATACTTAGGTGTAAAGTCCTTTGCATTCCAGATGTTAGCACAAAGGTGTTCATAAATTGAAATAACTGATTTATATTTTGAGTAAGCAACTTTGATGTTTGTGAGAACTCTAGAAAATTTTAGATATAATACCGTTAGAACTCTCTTAAAGCTCAATTCAAGTGATGTTCTTGTTTTCTTAACATTTCTTTATAGCTCTCTGTGTTTACACCTTTGATACTACACATTCTTTGCTAAATTATGTAAGTTGATAATATTACTCTGCTATATTTAGAATACTATCCACTTCTTAAAATAATTCAGAGCTAAGTGATCAGGATTACAGAAGTATTCCATTTCAATCAGAGTTAAACTGTATTTGAAGGTGAGTTTGCTGACAGTTACATTTAATAACAACTTTAAAATTCTGTTCATAGTTGCCCTGGCCAGTTTGGCTCAGTGGATAGAGCATCAGCCTGCAGACTCAAGGGTCCTGGGTTTGATTTCGGTCAAGGTCATGTACCTTGGTTACGGACACATACCCAGTGGGGTGTGTGCAGGAGGCGGCTGATCGATGTTTCTCTCATAGATGTTTCTGACTCTCTGTCCCTCTCCCTTTCTCTCTGTAAAAAATCAATTACAGAGAGAAAGGTAATTTCTCTTTTTTTTTTTTTAATATATTTTATTGTTTGTTTTTTTTTTTTACAGAGAGGAAGGGAGAGGGATAGAGAGCTAAAAACATCAATGAGAGAGAAACATTGACCAGCTGCCTCTTGCACCCCCCCTACCAGGGATGTGCCCACAACCAAGGTACATGCCCTTGACTGGAATCAAACCTGGGATCTTTCAGTCCACAAACTGACGCTCTACCCACTGAGCCAAACCGGATCTGGCAATAATATATATATATATATATTTTTTTATTTATTTTTTAATTCTGTTCATAGCATATTCTTACAGTCTACTTAATTCCTTTCTCAAGTAACTACCAGACAGTTCTATTATAGTTTTAAAATATGTAGGTATCTGCCTGTTTGTCCATAGAAAATATTGAAAGACTACATATCAGTTATTTCTGATCTTATTTCCTAAGTAATTTCTATGGTAATGGCCTGTTTTTTTCTGTTTTGTTTAGTAAATTAAGACATGTAAGGAGCCAAGACCGGTTTGGCTCAGTGGATAGAGCGTCAGCCTGCGGACTGAAAGGTCCCAGGTTCGATTCCTGTCAAGGGCATGTACCTTGGTTGTGAGTACATCCCCAGTAGGGGGTGTGCAAGAGGCAGCTGATCCATGGTTCTCTCTCATCGATATTCCTAACTCTCTATTCCTCTCTCTTCCTCTCTGTGAAAAATCAATAAAATATATTTAAAAAAAAAAAAAAAAGACATGCAAGGAAAGATCAAGCTGCCTCTTCCCTAATGATTCAGTATTGTGTTCTATATTTAGACTTGATTTGTCTGCCCCAGTGGAAACTTTTTTTTAGTAACTTTTATTAGATTCAGCCTAGCACACTGCACTTTAACCACCTTTTCCTTCTGTATAAAGACAAAGTCCTGGTTTTGATCCTTTTAAAAATTACAAATATACATGAATCCTGGTAATTACCCAAAAATCCTTCTTAATTTTTTTATAATTAAAGTTTTTTCATTTATAATTTAGAAGCTTTACTTCTTTTTTTTTTTTTTTTAATGTGTGTGTTTTTTAAGTTTTTATTATTGTTTAATATTGGACTTCATAATGTATTTTGTTGTTGTTAATCATCATCCAATGATAGTTTTTCCATTAATTGTTAGAGAAAGCAGAAAAGGAGTGGTGAGGAAAGAGAGGAACATCATTGTGAGAGACACACATTGGGGCCCCTTCACTGTGTAGGCCGACACTCGAAACCCTGAGCATACTGGCCAGGGCTTAATAACTTAAAAAAAAATTTTTTTTTTTTAATTGATTTCAGAAACGAAGGGAGAAAGAGAGACGGAAATATCAATGAGAGAGGATCACTGATAGGCTGCCTCCTACATGCCCCCATCCTGGGAATGGAACCACAGCCTCCTGGTTCATAAGTTGATAGTCAATCACTAAGCCATCTGCCAGGCTCAGTCACTTTTAAAATACAGAAGCTAAATTTTTTTTGTGTGTGTTGTTAATCCTCAACTGAGAATATGTTTATTGATTTAAGAGAGAGAGGAAGGGGGAGACAGAGAGAGAAAAACATCCATTAAGTAGTTACCTCCTATATGTGCCCTGACTGGGGATTGAACCCACTACCTTTTGGTGTACAGGATGATGCTCCAACCAACTGAGCCACTCAGCCAGGGCTAGAGACTAAAATTTTTTAGTGCAATGGGGTGATTTATGTATGTTGGTATATATATATATGTGATTTGATATGTATGCTATTTTGTTGTATTGATAGCAAGCTTCAAAACTTCTATGTCATATTTTCAGATTACCACTTGTTCTGATTAATGGCACACACACTTTCTGAGCAGCATTTCAAAACACAAAGAAGTAGCTAAAACCGGTTTGGCTCAGTGCATAGAGCATTGGTCTATGAACTGAGGGGACCCAGGTTCGATTCCGGTCAAGGGCATGTACATTGGCTGTGGGCACGTCCCCGGTGGGGAGTGTGCAGGAAGCAGCTGGTCGATGTCTCTCTCTCATCGATGTTTCTAGCTTTCTATCCCTCTCTCTTCCTCTCTGTAAAAAAGCAATAAAATATGTTTTTAAAAAACAAACACAAAGAAGTAGAAAATTGGGTCTCTGAATGGTCTGCCTCAAAACAAGAAAAGTTCTATTGGGACGGTATCCACAAATTACCTGAAAGATGGGGGGAATGTGTAGCTAGCTATGGATATTACTTTGAATAAAGAAAACACCTTTGATGTTTCTCTTGAAATTATCATGTTTTCTTTGATTACAAAATCCGCATTATTAACTGGTACACCTGGTAGTTAAAAGAAATTACTGCACCCAGTTTATGGTGCTATATACTAAGTTGAAGAGTAGTATTATGTTGCCTGGTACCACTTGTATGTGGGATCTTTAAAAAAGACAGAAAGGCAAGTATTTCATGTTACCACTTACATATGGGATCTAAGAAAAATCTCAGAAACAGTGGAAAAGTGGTTGCTAGAGTAGGAAGTAGGGAGAGATTGGTACAAGGGTACAAACTTTTAGCTACAAAATGCTTAAGGTTTGAGGATTTAATGTAAAATACAATGACTATAGTTAACACTGTATTGTATAGTTGAAGTTTGCTGAGAGTAGAACTTAAATGTTCCCACACACCAAAAATGGTAATAATGTGAGGTGATAGATATGTAAATTAAATGGGAGAAATTCTTTAAAAAAAAAAATTATATATATATATATATATATATATATATATATATATATATATGTATATATATATGCCCAAGTGACCGTTCGACCAGCAGCTATGATGCACAATGACCACCAGGGGGCAGACACTTAGACCAGTAAGTCAGGTTGCTGCTGAGGCCCTGTCAGCCCCAAATCTGGTTCACCTGCTCCAGATTCCCTTTCAGTGTGCATGAATCTATGCACTGGGCCACTAGTATTTATGTAAGATGTGATCTTGTATTTTAAGGAATCCTGTATTTTATAACATAACAATTAGTATCTGCCAATACAAAAAGTTGTGGGTGGTAAATGATAGGTATGTGAGCCCACTACATTTTAATAATGAGAAGGTTTGGGGTAAAATGTTCAGATTTTAAGAAGACATAAAAGATGTTCAAGTATAGTTCCTCGCAATTAAATGAAAAACGAAATAAAAATGGAGAATTGACACAGGAAGGCTAAAGTTCCAAATGAACATCAAAATCTGTAATTGGGGAGGAGGAGAGGGTTGTTTAAGAACTGTAATACATTTTACTGTTTTCTGATTATCTAAATTTTAATATTTCAGAGGATATTGTGTTAAAAATTACCTACAATTTTGACCATGTTTTTTGGAATATGCTTTTAAATTTTTTTATTCATTGATTGATATTAGGAAGTGAGAAACCTATATTTGTTGTTCCACTTGATTGTTATATATTCAATGGTTGCTTCTTGTATGTGTCCTGACTGGAGATCTAACCTGTAACTTTGATGCTCACTAACCTACTGAACTATCCGGCCAGAGTCTTTTGAAATATGCTTTAAACATTATTTTGTATATATTAATATTTTTGTATGTATTATAGCTATAAAAATAAAAGCATAATATATTAATTAGACCAGATGACCTTCTGGACAAAGCCAGGGCTGTGAGGGAAGCCCAGGTACTGGAGGGAAGCTGGTGTCAGCAGCCAGTGGAAGGAAGGCCTACTCTTGCACGAATTTCGTGCACCGAGCTTCTAGTATACATATATGTGTATGTATATGTAGTTGGAATATGCTTTTCACCCTATAAAACAATATATCAACACTGTCTTTTTGTGCTAATATATATTAATGTTCATGCTTTATTTAGCCAGTTCCCTTTTGATGGACACTTAGTTTTTTGTTTTGTTTAGTTTTGTTTGCTGTTAATAAAAGTGTGATGAGCAATATTTTTGTTTAGCCACTTCTCCAATAGAGTTTTAAAAACCTATGTGCCTGTATTGCAAATGATTATTTAGGGCAGCTGTTGCCAACTGGTGATCCGCGGATCACTGGTGTCCCTGAGTTCCGAAAGGTTGAAATTGCTGAATTAGGATGTATTGTTTGTATTTCCTGCTGTTGACCAATGCCATTGTGATATGGAACTAGCACTGAAAGAGTAGGTAGGACCTACATAGTTTTCTAGCTGTTTGGTTGGTATCAGATTGTTTTATTTTTTAATTCACTTTTATTTGATGTTTTCTTTGAATGTTTTTCTTTTTAATTTTTTATTAAATTATTATCTGTATACATATTTTAACATTGCCCCCCCCCATACATACCCACCCTCCCCAGAGTTTTGTGTCCATTGGTTGTACTTATATGCATGTATACAAGTCCTTCGATTGATCTCTTATCTCCCCCAGATCTCCCTACCCTCTCGGCTGTAATTTGACAGTCTGCTTGTTGCTTTGCTGTCTCTATATCTATCTTTTGGTTCATCAGTTTATAATGTTCTTTAATATCCATAAATGAGTGAGATCATGTGGTGTTTCTCTTTCATTGACTGGCTTATTTCACTCAGCATGATGTTCTCTAATTCTATCCAGGTTGCTGCAAATGATGAGAATTCCTTTTTTATGGCAGCATAGTATTCCATTGTGTAGATGTACCATAGTTTTTTGATCCAATCATCTGCTGATGGGAACCTAGGCTGTTTCCAAATTCTAGCTATTGTAGCTTGTGCTGCTATGAACATAGGGGTGCATATATCCTTTCTGATTGGTGTTTCTAGTTTCTTGGGATATATTCCTAGGAGTGGGATTACTGGATCAAATGGGAGTTCCATTTTCAGTTTTTTGAGGAAACTCCATACTGTTCTCCACAGTGGTTGCACCAGTCCTGCACAAGGGTTCCTTTTTTTCCGCAACCTCGCCAACACTTGTCGTTTGTTGATTTGTTGATGTTGGCTATTCTGACAGGTGTGGGATGGTACCGGATTGTTGTTTTGATTTGTATCTCTCGGATAATTAGTGACTTTGAGCATGTTTTCGTGTGCCTCTTGGCCTTCCTTCTGTCTTCTTTTGAAAATATTCTATTTAGGTCCATTGCCCATTTTTTAATTGGATCATTCATCTTCCTTTTATTTAGTTATATAAGCTGTCTGTAGATGTTGGAGATTAAACCTTTATCAGTGATAACATTTGCAAATATGTTCTCCCACACCGTGGGCTTTCTTGTTGTTTTGTTGATGGTTTCTTTTGCTGTATAAAAGCTTTTTATTTTGATGTAGTCCCATTTGTTTATTTTCTCTTTAGCTCCCATTGCCCTAGGGGCAGTATCAGTGAAGTTCTTTTGGCATATGTCTGAGATTTATCACCTGTTAAAAATTTTAAGAAGACAATGTATATAAGCAACTCTACTAATGATATTCCTAGTGATAGCAGAAAGAAAAATTACGTAGATGCTCTTCAGGTTTGTCTTGTCACATTTGATCAACCTTTATGGTAGTAAAATTGACTTGAGCTATTAAAAATATTTTGTTTTTGGCAATATGTTACTGTACTTTGGATTATAGTCTTAGAATAAATTTCTAGAGTGGAATTACTTGAAGAAAGGAGATGCCTTTTTAGGTTTTTTATATACGTGCTAGATTGTCTTCCAAAGATACAGCCACTGACAGTCCCAGCAGCCAAGTATAAGAATCCCATTTGCTACTTACCACCCTGCCAGTATTAGGTATCACCATTCTTTTTGATCAGTAAGAGATGTTTATATTTTCTGAACCAGAGACAACAAGGAAAACTTTGACATTTATATAGCATGTTATTCTGAACTTTTTAATATTGGTTGTTTACTGAATTTGTCTCTAAATGTATACAAGTGTGTAAAAACTGAATTGAATCTTGATGTAATGACTGGCAAAATCTGCTTATAAATAGTACTATCTTCATAGAAATAAAAAGTTATTGTAAAAAGATTAAATTTTTTAATCATGTAAAAAAAGATTTGGTACCTTTTAATATGTTCATTTTAACAAATGTAGCTAATTACATTTTATTGAGTACATTTTGGTTTGTTCCAGTAGCCGGATCGAGCTGGGAGATGTGACACCACACAATATTAAGCAGCTGAAGAGATTAAATCAGGTCATCTTTCCAGTCAGCTATAATGACAAGTTCTACAAGGATGTGCTGGAGGTTGGCGAGCTAGCAAAACTTGGTATAATATGTTTTTTTTCTTCATTTGTTTATTCATGTTCTCGACCCTTAGTTTTTAATAGTAGAGCAGGAAGGTTTAATCTCTTTATTTTACAAGTGAAGAAATGGGAGTGCTCCAAATTCTGGGGAAAATCTCAGAGAAATCAAGGCAGAATATTTGAAATTTAAAAGGAAATGCTACATCTTTTATTTAGTGTGTGCCTATGTGATTCCCCATATTTTGCTTTAAATTTCTAAGATGGTATAGGAGGTTTTTGAAGCTGTTGAAATTCAAAGTAGGTGATAAAACTAAAAGCTGATAGCAACAGTTTAGTCCTTATAAATGATGTTGTTTTTAAATTGTTGCTGAATTTATTAAAGTAAGATGACTGCCAAATACTGTACTACATTCCTGACATTTAACTATGCAACCTGCCCTGAGGTCCAGGTGAGAAAGGAATGTCCCTTGTCTCTGTGGGCAGGGTTCCAAGGGCCTTGTGCACCTTCCCTGGGCACTGGCTCTGATGGGACCAGGCCAGTTAGTTAACATGGGGCTCTGGGCACTCTAGTTACAGCCACCTGTGGACATTTGGAGTAAGGGGATGTGGGGGAGACTGAGCCACTCTGGCAGACGTTGGCCACAGTCGTCATCAGAGAGTATGACCTTTCTGATCCTCCTGTTCCTTCTGCCTGCATGGAGCTAGATCTACTCCTTTCAAGAATCCACAGCAAACTTTATGCAGTACTCATGTACTTAAAACAAAAATGCCCACCAGGAAAAAACATGGGCATGGAGTTTCAAAGTAACAAAAATCACCAACTCTGGGACAATTTTTTAGCTTTAGGGAAATGGAAACAGGGATTCCTATTTGTAAAAACACATGCAAGGCAAGCCATTGTGGAATGGACACATGGAAAATTTTCCAATGCTTAATTTTCAAGGTACTTCATTGTTAAAACAGGTCACAACACTAATCCTCTGGCCTGTGTGCCAGTGTATAAGCTACAAATGCTTGCTTGGCAGCTGAGGGCCATTCTCATGTTTGAAAATTGAATGAAAATCCATTAAAAAAATATTTAAATAGTTTCCATAGGAACACAGATAACTGTGACCTCGACGCCTAGACCTTCCACATTCCATCTGTGCCAATTCCACTTACAAAGACATTTCAAAACTAGCAATAATTAAGTTAATGGTCCTCCCAAATCCCTTAAGTCAAGCTACACCCCCATAACAACTACAAGAATGATTGAAGTGTAGGCTGCTGAGAGGCGTTTCATCCTACTCTCCCAGGCACAAGACACAGGCAGAGAAAGCACTGGCGTCCTGCTCTTCCACTTTGAGTGGGAAGTCTTGGTTCTGGACTTGCTGCATCAGTTGCCATGTCGGCCCTAACAGCACATAGTAAATAGTCGTCCTCTGGAATCCATTGAAAGTAGAAGCAGCAGCAACGATGTAAGCACCCATGTTTTCAAAGAGGATCCAGTCCCCCACTTAGGCTGGGGGACTGTCACATGCTGGCCCCCAGATGCTGGATGAATAATACTTCTCATCTGGTTGGGCCTCTTCTGCAGAAGTGACTTCATGTGCACATAATAATAGAGGATGCAATTAAATGATCCATACACTCCATTATTCACATAATATATAAAGGTTTTTTTTCACCCGACTCCTCTTCATCATCAGAGCCTGTTTGTTCCTTTAATACCAGTTTTTTGGCAGTGATGTTAACTGCAAGTGTGAAAGCTGATGCAACATAGTATCTGCCTGGCTCAGCTGTGAGTATCACTCCCAAGTCTGATGGAAAATACTTGTCCAAAGCTGGGTTGATTACACTGATGATCAAATTTAAGCTTCGCATCCTCAGGTCCAGGAAAGCCACCACCAATATCCAGCAGATACATGTTGAAGCCAACCTTAGCTCCCATGTCAAAGACAATAGCGGGCATCAGAGATGGCCAGCATGAAGGTCTAAGGTTAATACAGCCACTTCCATGTGATGGCATCAATGTTTAGCTCCTTTGTTCCAAAAGAAATCTGCTGCTGGTTTTGAGTAGGGCATCAAATTTAACACTTGAGTTGACACATGGCTTTGGAATCATTAGTAGCAATCCACAAAACCCACTTTGCTTTTAGATGTGCCCTAGCAACTTCCATCAACTTGACCTTACTATGGAAAGTGGTCATCTGGACTCCTTTATTGGCAGAATATTTAATCTGAGACACTTGTTTATAAGGATTTGCGTAGATAATCCTCTGGAGGTACCCCAAAACTCTGCATCAGTTTTATTTCAATTTTACTGGCACAGTCAAATCCTATCCGAATGGCAGCTAAGGGTCTTCATTATTGTTCTATCGTCATTGCAGTTCTATCAGTGACCCCAAGAAAGAGCTTTTAACCATTTCAGAAGTTTCTTTAGAATGTCTCCCGGGTCTGCAACATACAAGGCATCCTTATCATCGGAAGAAGAGACTGCATTAATTTTTTGGTCCAGAATGTCCAATCAGACTCTTAATTTACTAATGTTCATGTTCATGGTTTCTGGATGTTCTGAAATGCAACACAAAGGAAAATGAAGATATGGGAGTTAGAAACTATTGCCAGCTGTTCACAAATGCAGCTCTCCGGAAATAACAAGTCCAGAAGATGTGTGTCCTCTTAGTGTAGCAGTGGGAATGCCCTTAGGCAGAGTGCACACAGAATGGCCATTCCCAATCAGCCACCCAGCCACCTACCACCTAGCTCCCTCCCTCTGAGGAGCTTGGGAATCTAAGGGACTTTTTTAATCTTTACTTTTGAAAGTATTACATATGTGTCGTCCCGTCCCCCCCCTCCATTTGACTTCTAGCTTCTCCTGCTTCCCAGGCTTTCATCCCCTATTGTCTGTGTCCATGGGTTATGCATATATACTACAAGTTCTTTGACTGATCTCTTCCCATCCATCTACCCTCCCTCACCTCCCCTCTGAGGTTCTACAGTCGGTTCTACGTGTCTCTGTCTCTGCATCTATTTGTTCAACAGTTTATTTTGTTTATTAGATTCCACATATGAGTGAGATCATGTAATACTTAACTTTGTCTGACTGCCTTATTTCGCTTAACATAATAATATGTGTTATTCTGTCTGTTGAAAGTTATATCTTTATGTTTTCCATGGCAGCCTATTTCAATGATATTGCAGTCGGTGCAGTATGCTGTAGGGTGGATCATTCACAGAATCAGAAGAGACTTTACATCATGACACTAGGATGTCTGGCACCATACCGAAGGCTAGGAATAGGTAAAATTACTATTTTTTATTATTATTTCTTCAAAGAAACATAAACATATTGTTAATTCTTCCTGACCCAGTAAGTCAAAGTATTTTTTTTTTTAAAGGAATACTGGGAAGTGGTTACTGAATTATATAAGGTGAAGAATATTTAGTCCTAGGTGGTTTGGCTTCAGTGGATAGAGTATCGGCCTGAGGACTAAAGGGTCCTAGGTTTGAGTAGGATCAAAACACATGCTTGGGTTGTGGTCTCAGTCCTCAGGGTGGGGCATGCAGAAGGTAGCCGATCAGTGATTCTCTCTCATCAATGATGTTTCAATCTCTCCCTCTTCCTTCTCTGAAATCAATAAAAAAAATTTTTTTTTAATTTATTTATTAACATAATTCAATTGAAAGTCCTATACAGATTTGTTGTCAATGTCCCTTTTGTTTTTTCTGTTTTCCTTGTACCTGGATGTCTTATATATAAAGATTGCTTTTCAGCTAGCAGTTTTAAACACACATAGTATAGAAAGAGAACAAATATTTGGAAAATCAGATGTCTAGTGTTTGCTTCAAATTCTGTAAGGACTCAGTAAGTGTTAGCATAGTCATTATATGTAATTTAAAGATTGATCTCTATGACATTACTTATTTATCTTGTTAATAGGAACTAAAATGTTAAATCATGTCTTAAACATCTGTGAAAAAGATGGCACCTTTGACAACATCTATCTGTAAGTACAATTATATTTAATTATCTAAAGAATTTAATAAATTGGCAATAGTAATCTTTACAGAAATTTTAAATTCTGGTCACATATTTTATTGTCTTTTGGAAACACCATGGACGTAGTGGTTAATAATAGATTAAGAAACCTGAGGAAAAACATTCTTGTTTTCCTTTAGAATATTGGGATGGGAGCTTCAAAGTTAGAGGGATGAAATAATTTAAAATTTAAATTGTTAAATTTAAGAATCTATTAACATTACTTTTCTTTAACCCTGAGTTTGCACTCTGTTTTGGTTAAAGTCAATTGGTTATGTGCTTATTAGCAGCAGAGTTTAATTATAAAAATCAGAGAGTACCTGGCTGATATTATACTTAGATCTTAAGAGACAAGGATAGGTCATAATAATGGATTGTTTATTAAGATTCTCATTTTTACTTTAACAGTGGGAGAGATTAAGTTACAATGCTAGTTGAGGAGTAATTGAGAAAGTTCAAATTATTTTCAAAAAATAGCTTGTTTTTATATCAATCACAAAGGATATATTCAGGCATTTGAGACCTAATATTTTACTTTTTTTTAATCTTTTTTTTCTGTGTGTGTTAATATGGTCTTTGAATATTCTCTCATAATTGAAAATGTTATGATAGCTAGCCCTTTGTTGATTTTAAGAATAATTACTCTTCCTTGAGTCACTAATCTCAACCAACTGTTACTAATGTCAGCGGTATTCCTCCTCCAACCAATTTGAAGCTATCTGTGGGGAACAGGTAAAAGCTTATGAAATCGTAATTATTATTATTATTTTTTTTTTTTTCCTGATACCTTCTTATATCTTAGACATGTCCAGATCAGCAACGAATCAGCAATTGACTTCTACAGGAAATTTGGCTTTGAGATTATTGAGACCAAGAAGAACTACTATAAGAGAATAGAGCCCGCAGATGCTCATGTGCTGCAAAAAAACCTCAAAGTTCCTTCTGGCCAGAATGCAGACGCGCAAAAGACCGACAACTGAACAAATTACAAATGAACTTTCTTGCACTTGCTTGTCGCCAAATAAAAGAGAGGCCCATTGATTCTCCCCTTCCCCCCTTTGTTTTAAAGCTTTTCCCACTCCTTGTTCTTGCTTTTTCTCCTTTCTTTTCTTCACTTTCTTCTAAAAGTTTTAATACTTTCAAGGACTTTCAAAATTAATCATGTTTAGGGTGTTTTTGTTTTCTTGTTTTTGTGAGCTGGACTGGTTGTAGGAAGGAGATGTATAGATCTGTTTATTTCACAGTTAAGATATATGGTCCCGAGAATTTGGGTATCAATTTCAATTTATTTTTAACTTTTTTTTAATGTCCTGCATTCACATTGAAGGGCAGAGCCTACAAAATATTATATATTTCAAAAGAAAAAAGAAGCAGTAGCAATATCTTGTTCTCTAATCATACACAAGTTTAGTGTGTTTGTGGTACTTTGGGTTTTTCAAGACTGTTTGTGGGATACTAATCCCTAGACATTGCCTTCAACTCCACCTTTTGTCCTTCTAAGTACTATCTCAGGAGTTGGACTATGTTATTCTTGTAAGAAATACTAAGCTTATTTTGTGTGTGTGTGTGTTTTAAGCAATTATTTCTTCCTTCCTCATTGGTGGCTGAGGGTGGGTGGGATAGTTTGGGTAGGTAGTGTTAGACTTTGGTCTCAAGTATTTGAGTTAAACTGCTTTTTGCTAATGAGTTGGTTGGTTATTAGAAGGTTTATTTTTCCTGCTGTTGATTGTTATTAGTGGCGTTAACTTTTTAGAGTGTGAGCTGGTGAAATTTTTTTTCTAATATCCCAGCTAAAGATATGGCCTTTAATACTGACCTAAAGAGGTTTGTTGTGACTTTTTTCCTCCTGTCCCCTTTCTTCAGTAAACTCACAGTAACCTAACCTTAAAAATGGAGTTGGTGTCCTTATAGGGCAATACCCCTAAAGAATCCTGAAGTAGGTGTTGTCTGTTGGACATATTAAAACATACTTAAAGGTAAGCTTAGATGGACTTGTGGCACAATAAATGCATTTAATGTCAGCTAATGCAGGCTGTTAAAAGTGTGGCCACTGAGCATTTGACTATGTAGGAAAGAGTATCTAGACTATTTTTGAGAATGACATAACTGTGCTATTATCTGTTGGAGAACATCCCAGATTTGCTTACATTCTGTGCCTATGATATTGAGTTTAAGGATTTGGGGGAGGGAGAATTGTTAAACATATTACTTCTATTCTTGGAAAA